ACATTAATAAGGAAGTTTATATTTTTCGCGAGTCGGTGGCGTGACTCGTGTGAAAGCCAAGGCAGCACTTTCCTGTGTGGCTGTACTTTACATGGTGTAAAAGGCGGTTCTAACTATTGAGACTGCAAAGAACGTACTGTGGCAGTGCAGTACTTCCTGCGGTGCTGTTTATTATGCTGAACAGGGTTATTCAAACTACTAAGTCTAACTAATGTGCAAAACTAATCCGCCCCGTGGTGATGTTTATTAGGCAGAATAAGGGCGGTTCATGCTTCCTAGACGTGATCTATTGACCTTTTTTTTTCCTACGGATTTAACATTTGTTATTCAAATGTTTGAATTTCTTAACACTGTCGTTTTAAGGTACACTTTCATTCCAGCTGTCGATTATTTTAGCGATTACAGAAAACGTCTCTGTCAGAATCTTTTGATAGAGGTGTACAATTCATCAGTTTTCTGATTGTCAATTTATACTTTGATGACGGAGTTCCAAAATTTTTGCGCCTTGTGGCCAGACGTGGTGATATTGGCCCCAAGAAATCATTCAAATATCCTTCCTTCTTTTCTCAGTGATGATAACTTACTGATGCTACGTGCTTTCTAGGCCTTCTGTCTCACTTTGGTAAATTTAAAAATCACAACCCTCTTTTTAGCCAGATCTCATCGACGTAACGACGAAAGAAATGTTTTCGTCTTATTTTTTTACTGTTTGAAACCGCAAATGAAGTGGGCTGACCACGTTTGTAAAAAAGATATCTTGATATTAGTTCTAAATAGGGTAGCAGGATATAGGCTCCCTTGTTACAAACGTGGAAAATAACTTAAAAGTGTTGTGAGCATTTTGCCTGAAGACTAATGACTTAAACTGAAAGTTCAATTCTATTTCAGTATTTGCAAATACGGCTAACATGGCTTGATTATGATTGTAGAAATATTCCATTATTCTCTTATCAACGCGTAGACTGGCGACAGTTTTAATGGAAGATCTAAATACCAGAGAAGGAAATGGCGCTTTTTTTCGATTCGCCTTCCACTTTCCGTGATACGGGTAATGAATTGACGATCGACATAAACGTTCGGTGACCTAGTGACCTTTCATTTAAGTCTTTTTGGTTTCATCTGTTTTCACTCACAACTCGAACACTCTTCAAGTCAAGTTGTCTAAGTTGATACGACGCGGCGAGGGCAAAATAAGCGACAGACAAGACAAGATAATTCTGGGTGTCGCACGCTGCCATGGTGTCTTTTTAAAGATGCGCTTTGCGATAAAAGTGGAGAAGGGTGCAATTCCTTTCCCTTTTTTCATCGACCTCAAACGGGGCAGGAAAAAAAATCTTTTCTATTTTAAGTATGTTGTAATAACTATAATTATGCTACATGGCTCTGCAGAGATAAGTATGTAATGGCATTGTTTTCAAGACCTACATGGCCGAGCTTATTTTGACACGTTATGGTTTTGTTAGTGTACAGCTTTTTTGTCGTGCAGTACAAAATGCTTTGTTACTTACTTAATTTTTGGTGTCATTCTTACGTTTGTTTTCTTTTTTGCTTAACAACTCTTATATAAAAATGAAAATATGAAAATGTGGGAGCTTTTACATATTTGCTTCTCTATAAACTCAGGTCAGAATACATTGATCTGTTTCTAAAACCACTTCTGGGAGGCGCTGGCTGACGCTCTTTAATACTCATAAATATTCATTTCATTTATCTCTTAAGTGTAAATTCAGTAAATTGATGTTGCTGTGCTAAAAATTTGTTTTAAAATTCCGGGAACCGCGTCCTTTGCTCTTCATGCAAATGAGTTGCCGTATAAGTCACGTGTCTACTTGGTTTGACCTGAACTAATCGCACGCGGGGTATCTTTCCTTTGTAGAGCGAAGAATAACTGCGCTTCCGTTGAAGAATATTTGAGAGACTACGTGAACATTTACACCCGTCCGACTAGGCGGCTGTTCTAAATTTCATCGCAAAACAGTTGGATTCCCTCTTTTGAGCTCATGTGGAAAACGTGAAGATTGAAACAGCTTACGGTGAAGGACCGACGTTGAAGAAAGCGTTATCATGGGCGACAACGCCGACAGTGAAGGCAATTTGATTCATTCGATTTTGAACGACTTGAAGGTGGGATTTTTCTCTTACTTTTGATTCTTCTTCCTTTTATATTTTTCTAACCTAGACCCGGCGCTAAATATTTCTCTCTTTTACAGGGGAGCGCCCCGGTTTGGGAAGATTTTGTCGGCAAAGCGAGTAAACTACACTCAGCGCTAAAGTAAGCTTGATAGTAAACGTGTGTAATAATTTAACTCTCATATTTTATAATTTACGAGTTATAATTTATTTTTTGCGAGAGAGTAAGATGATAGGCTTAGTTTGTTTTAATTTTCCTCGATTTAGGGCAACAGTTATCGCAGCCGACTCCTTTTTGGACGCTTTTCAACGAGTTGCTGATGTCGCGAATTCGTCACGAGGTAAGGGTACTGTACTCTCCGGCACTTTTTCTTGTTTTGCCGCGTCAAATATCTACTTTGCGTTACTTAAGTCTTGTTTTATAGCAAAATAAGAATGGCGTCAATATCGCGTCTAAAGCTGACTTTTTAGGAAGATTATACTTTGTACAGTGAAAGCACATGTTTCTTCGTCGTGTCATTCGGTTTTAGTTTCATCAGCTGGTCAAGGGTTTTACCCACGCGTGTTGTAATTTTTTTGTTGATATTTGTATAAGGTTATACTTTTTGTAGAAGAATTTGAAGAGTCGTGATGTATACGGTGACTAGAATCTTATCTTGTGGTAGGAACATATGTACAACATTGGATCTTGATTTCGTTCGGTTCTTGTATGAATATAATAGTTTAAGCTAAGATAAGGGATTTTACAAAGCAGATCGTAAATTACGATCTGAAATACCTCATCGAAGTCTAGGGCAACCGCTTTTTTTTTCCTTTCGAAAATTCGTGCGTGGGTGAATTATTTCGCGCTCGAAATGGACGTTATATTCAGGTGATTTATTCGAGCGGCGAGCGTTCGACTCACAGCAGATTGTGTTGAATGAATTTTCCTTCACAACGCTCTCTTTGTTTTGTTTATTTATAGTGGCTTGTGAAATAGGAAACCTTCCCTGGGATCCTTCCAACCCCTGCAAGAAGAAAATTTCGGTTCAAATTACGGTAGTTTTGACGTGGTACTAGTGGTCTACGGGAGTTTACTACGAGTTTGCCGAAACCTGGTCATTTTATTGTCCGTTACGATTTTGGCGGTAAAGCAGTGCAATTTTGCCGCGTAATTTTAACGTTCGCGTCAATATTCGGCGTGTCTATATTTGGCGTTCTGGCGAATTTTTCTGTTGATTTTTTGCCTCATAATTTTGTTTTCTTTCAGCCACCCAAAGCATTTGCAGCTAAAAAGAAGCAATCGTGCTAGTTTTCCTTCATCTCCTATCAATCTCTTTCCATCAAATTTTGCGGTTTGGTTTCATAGCATTACTTCAAGCATTATTTATATGGTCGCGCCACCTGCTTCGAACAAAACTCGGACAGTTTTGGGATAGCAAAGTCGTGAACCCGCTAAACATGGAAATCCTTGTTCAATTTCAATAGTCAAAACAGGTTTTGTTAGCTTTCAGAATTTTGAATAATATTTTGTGGCCTTAATCAAAGGAAGTACATTTATGCATGATCACTTCCTGAATTACTGATATGAGCTTAAAACGTGTTTATCGCTATGAAACAAGAAAACTGGACAGAAATTGTACGCGTTACAGTGGGTAGCTCGTAATGTCTTGAGGTTTTGTCGACCCAGATAAACACTCTTTTTCAATTTTCGGTCAAGTTTCACTCTGTCTGAGTTATATCAATTTTAATTATTTTAAATTTAGTTGCATCGGAAGTAGTCAATCGGTAAAGAATGTTCGGAACTACGTTTTTAATTTTTTAAAAAAGTTATAAAGCTTTTGTCCGTACCACATGCTAAGATTTTGGCACTTTGTTTATGGAGAATTCTACGTTAATTCCGTTACGATTATTTGTAACAGTTTTGGCTTAGCAAACCGTTGTAAAATTAATTAGAGGGTTCTTAGGTGCCATTGTGCACTGAAAGAACGCGCTATATGATTGTAGTTTTCACAAGACAGTGAGATGCATTCCAAAAGACCGACTACTTGTAGTTATTTTCACGACATAAATTTACCATGGAGTCATTGGCTGCCAAGTAGTCTAAATATGTGAAAACCGTGGGGTGCATTTTATTCAAGTTTCTTAATATTTGTCTTTTTCCAATGGTGCAGGAAAATAGGCAGTTGCTCCTACACCCCTAATTTCTGTCTTATCAGTATGGTGATGTTGAATATAGGATTTTTACACATTTTATGTAGTAGAGGCTCACATCCAATGACCAGTTCTAAGACCACTGGAATCTTGATTTTTCAACTTCCCAGCTGGGAACAGGAAGTTAATTCACGTGACTGGGATGCTCTAAAAATGGGCCTGAAAATTACAGTAGAAGGGGAATAAGTTCTGATTCACAATTCAGGTTTCTACTAGACAAGATACGGCTATGTTTTTTAAAGTGGTGTTACCCAGTGGTTACTGCTTTGGATCAGTCCAAAGGACTGTGTCAATACAGTGCTCAATGTGGAGTTCGAGAACCAGTGACAACCGCAACGGGAATAAGAAGGACAAAACAACAATAGGTTTAGAGTAGCTAAACAGCAGGTGCATCGCGTTTTTTTTTTCTACATTTCTTTGCCATGATTGCATGACCTCGTTGTGAAACTGCCTAGTTTCACATTTTGTAGAGGTCATGAATTTAATAAAACTATTTTTCAATACTTTTTGTAAAACTTTATCAGATAGAGTATTTTAGAAGTCAACTCCGGGAAAGTTTACCAACATTTGATAAATTGNGGATGCTCTAAAAATGGGCCTGAAAATTACAGTAGAAGGGGAATAAGTTCTGATTCACAATTCAGGTTTCTACTAGACAAGATACGGCTACGTTTTTAAAAGTGGTGTTACCCAGTGGTTACTGCTTTGGGTCAGTCCAAAGGACTGTGTCAATACCGTGCTCAATGTGGAGTTCGAGAACCAGTGACAACCGCAACGGGAATAAGAAGGACAAAACAACAATAGGTTTAGAGTAGCTAAACAGCAGGTGCATCACGTTTTTTTTTTCTACATTTCTTTGCCATGATTGCATGACCTCGTTGTGAAGCTGCCTAGTTTCACATTTTGTAGAGGTCATGAATTTAATAAAACTATTTTTCAATACTTTTTGTAAAACTTTATCAGATAGAGTATTTTAGAAGTCAACTCCGGGAAAGTTTACCAACATTTGATAAATTGAGTGACATGGAATAACAGCAATGTGTTTTCAAACAGCATGAATTCACTTTTTAAGAGACATTTTCTCAACGTTTGTTGTCGCTCTCATTGCTTAAGCTCCATAATGTTTGTCCAGATTGAACGTAAGGCATGTTTCGAAAGTTTCACATTTAGAATCCCCTTTGAATTCATCTGGAATACATAGCACATAACAGGAGGACTGCTAACATTTATTATTGGCTACATGTAAGCTTTATTTCTTCCCTTTCTCAAATACACAGAAGAAAAACAAATAAAGCTAACTAGCAGATTGAAATGAAGAGAAAATTGCAGCATGACAAGGTTTCTGCTTTCATGCTTGCTCCAAAAGTGCATATTAATAGTTGCAATACTGTGTGTTCGTCTGAGCCACTTCTAAGCTTGTGTTAAGCTATTTAAGGTCTGTAAAGTCTTGAAAAGTCCGTGAATATTAGATAAAGTCCTTAAGGACCTTGAGAGCCATTTATCTTCAAAAAATGCTTGAAATTTCCTAAACTGGTATTTGATGAAGTCTAAGCAATGTGAAATAGCAAGAATCTCCATATTTTTCATTTTCTGTCAGCTAGCCTGTTAGTAGCACAAAGAAAAAGAAACCGTAATATATCTGAAATGCTGTGCTTTTTGCTTGAGGTAGTTATATATTCATTACAGAATATTATATTTACTTTTAGGAGGGACTTTTCATGATGCTAAGCTTGTTAAAAAATACCTGTAAACTGGTTTTACTGAGTTTGATCTACTCGAAGTTACCTGAGCAGTTTCAGTGGCTGGTTTTCAGAATGACATGGAAGTCATTAGCACTTAAAAAATTTTTGTTTCTCATGTTAAGTATCTTTCTTACCCAAGCCAATGCAGAAGGATCAAAGCGAAAACTCAGTTTAGTTCCTGGTTCTATGGTGTTATGATTCAATAATTTCCTTATTATCTTTAATTTAATTAGTGTTCATTGTGGTCAAATTATTTGCTTTGTAAGAACTTAAGTATTATGTATTCTAATCAGAGAGAACCTCACCAAACATCTGGGTAATTTCTTCACTTCTAAATTGGATACCCAGACTTCCTATTACCCTGTGCTTTGTAAACCCAACTATGGTATTTTTTATGTCTGGAAATTCAAAGGAAGAAACCACTTCGGTGGTTCTTTAACTTGGTTCTCTCTGTTTGTCAACATATTCTGAATTAAAAATATATAAAACTTTTTAGCATCTATCTTGGATAATAATTTTACAATCTGGGGTTGCAAAGCACCTTACAGTTTAGATTTAGTTTCAACATTCTTTTGAAACCAAACGATAAATAAGTGTATGTATCTACTCCATTATAAATTGTGGAGTTAGTTTTATGTCCAGGCTCTTGTTTGGCCTTCTTTAATGTAAAGACAAATGTGCGTGAGAGTATTTTTAGATGCTTTTCATTATACATTTATTACACCTTCCTGTAAAGGTTATTTTTGTGGAAAGAATTTTAATGAGTTTTTATACGTACAACTTAAATGGTTTTTGTTTGTAAGACATGCACCTGAGAATTGTGAAACCAGTTGAATGCTAAGAAATTTGCATCATTTTCTTGTGTTATTAAAGAAAAGTCAGGATTTTGTCAAAATAGCCTTGTAAAGACATATTTTTTTTTGGTAATGATATTGTAGTGCCATGGCTGTGTTTGTCACATTAGCACTCGTGTAAATGTGCACTTGTGTTCCAAACGAATGAGATCATCTTTTTTCAAAAGATGCCTGTCCCTGTTGAACCTTTAAAGGTCAAACTTGAATTTCAATTTTTTTTTAATGGAGCTGTTTGTGCTCCTTTGCCATGCAAAGTAACGTGTATTCAATTTGATGATGACCTGAACAAGTACGTCATCATAAATGAATTATTGCTGTCATTTACTGTTGATGACTAGGTGGCATATTCAGTATATCAGTAATGCATCAATACAGGTCATCCACGCCAAAAAAACTCAGACTTAAATATTGCTAATTATGAGACCTGCAGGCAATACGTGACAAAATTCTTTTCACCTACAACTAGGAGCACCCAACAACACCCAGTTGTACTTTGCTTATGAGCCTGTTGAGTTATACAATCTGATTCAAAAGGACTAGCAATGTCATTGTTGTAGACATTTTTCAAAAATATATTAGAT